CTGATCATTTATGTATACATTTGTCTATATCTATCTCGATTCGTTTTGCCTGTTACAAACAACCGTTATGTGAACAAAGTTATAATACCCTTGTGCACAAGTGCGCTCGGGTATAACAAGTGAATTTTTTATGTAATTTTTAGGAGGGGCAAAATTCATTATTCATATTATAACTTTTGAAGCACACCATATTCTGATTTGAAATTTAATGGGCATTTAGCACTGTATACTTCATATGTAGTAGGTAAGAAAAATGTGCATTAAAAAATAACGAAATGGCAAGTAACTCAAAGTCTGTAACTCCACATTTCACAATTTTCAAAATTTTCGGTTTATCGCTTACTTATAGTTTTTGAAGCATTTAATTTTAAGCACTTTTTAAGTATGTATTGTATTCTACAAACAATTACGAATAATTTAATATCTTAGCAAGAGGTGTGCTTTCAGAATAAACCAACTTTTAAAGATAAAATATTTTGCGATCTTGAGCGTAATTTTTATTCCAAAAATATATTAATTGAAGGCACATTTGGAAAAAACGTCGAAACGATCTAAATATTTTTATAGCTACTAGTCCTTGTAACGTTACATATACCTGTAAAAATTTTTCAAAAAAATGTTCTATAGAATTGTGTAAAATCCCCGATTTAGTACTTTTAATTATGCTCCTTCTTGTAGTCAGAATATTTCGAGCGTGATATCAAATCACAATTTTTCGACAAAGGTTCTGATAGTTGCTCTTACTTAACTGGAACCTTTCAAATTCAATGGCGTCCCCAGTTTTGCCCGATTGTCTACACTTTTGGAGATAGCGGTACTTGAAACTTTGCTTAAATTTGAACTATTTTATAAGAAAACTCCCTCAGTTTTGAAGATATTTTACTAAAATTTTGCACACGCTTGTATTTTAATATTTCCTTCACTATCTCATAAAATCATCGAAATCGGTTCACTCTAAAATCTAGCTCCCATACAACTGATTGTCCAGAGACGTTGTTTTGCGTTATAACTCCTCCAATTAAGCACGTAAATTTTAGTATAGGTTAACTTTAACATATAGCACGCATACAATTTATTATTCAGATATGAAGTTAGAGTTATAGCGCAAAAACACATATCTGAGTAATCATAGTGCAGGCATTTCGATAATTTTAAGGAATAATTAAGCTAATATTAAAAAACCGTTATGTGCAAAATTTTAGTAAAATAACTTCAAAACTGAGGGAGTTTTTTATAAAATAGTTAAAATTTAATCAAATTTTCAAATACCGTTATCTTGAAAACCGGAGCCAATCTGGTAAAACGGGGGATGCCATTGAATTTAGAACGTCCCAATAAAGTGACTTCAACTTTCAAAATCATTGCTCAAAATTTACAACTTAAACAATATAATTTGAACCGAGCTTATTCTTTTGTTTTCTATTTTATGTTTATTCCTCGTCTAACTTTTGAAGCACTTTATGAAAATCAATTACACTTAATTAATCGATTTATTAAGAGAATACGAATAAAATTATATATAAAACATAGGTGTGCTCACAAATTTAAAAATAAAATTTTTTTTTATTTTATTCATTGTCTTTTAATATGGTATTGATTTTATATATCACCATACCAAGTTCCATTACTCTACGCCGTTGAGTCTACGGGAAAAAAACTTCTAGAGGTATGCACTATGAAAAATTCAGTTTGTATGGGAAGTGCCATGCCCCCTTCTACAATAACGCCAATTTTTCTTCATGAGCAAAATATTGATTTTATATATCTCCGTACTAAGTTCCACAATGACTTCCAGAGATGTGCAGTATAGGAGGTACCACACTCCCTCGTCTAATCGAGATAAAATCTATGTCCTATATTTTAAGTTTGGCTAAATGACACCAGTATGCAAAATTTCATGATGATCGGTTGAGTAATTTAAGCGTGAAAGCGTAACAAACAAACAAACTCACTTTCGCTTTTATAATATTCAAAAGTAAAGTAAGGATTCTAAATTTTAGTTAAAGATAGTTGAATTTTTATAATTTTTGCACAAAGTTGGAAATTTTAGATTTATATGGTTCTTGCTCGATATTGAGCTACTTATACTTTTATAAAAATTAATAAAAACAAATTAAATAAAATTAAACAAAATAAAAATAGTCAAACGGGTCCTATTCCTATTATTTTGTGGACAACTGTATATAAAAACAATTTGGCAGTAAAAACCTTTAAGAATTCGAACGAATGTGGTGTATTTATAGAATATATTTATGTATGTATAACATTTTTGTGCCTACAAAGCTGTGACTTACGGATGAATATTTTTTTATGATTAAAATTTGGCAATATATTTTTTTTTTTTATATAAAAATTAAATTTATGAAATCAGTTAGATACGAGCTAACGAATAATTAGTTAGCATCATATTCCAAGAAGAAGATCAGCTTGTTAGTAACTGGATGATATTCAAATGTTATATACAAATGTATATATATGTGCATGTATATGTACATACATATGTATCCAACGACTACTTAATTTGGCATAACTGGAATGTTTTCTTCGATTCCATTATATTTTAAGCTGAACAAGTTGTATTTTTCTGTGACTCCAAGATGTATGACAGTATGTATGCAATTTTGGAGTTGTTTTGTTTTGATTTTTCTAGACTTTCATATGCAATTTTTGTTTATGCGTGAACGAGTTTTCGTGACTTGTTACATTCAACAACACAAATACATATATTGAAGCCTTGGCCGTTAAAAATGCCATAATTAGCAATTTTTAATCTCATGCACGTGCTATGCAAATTGGTATTCGTGCAAGCGTATACATTTTTCCATTTAAGTATTTTAATCTATTTAAATGTTTTCATCTAATGTTTTTCTAGTATATTTATGTATGCACATGAACTAAAAAAATATATTGACTTTATTGTATGTATTTTCAATGTCATCTTTTACAGATTCGGTTCCGGGAGCAGTCAGGCATCTCAGAGTAGCGGCGATATTTGTCGCATCTGCCATTGCGAGAGTGATCCACAAAATCCCTTGCTGACGCCATGTTACTGCGCGGGTAGCTTAAAGTACGTACATCAGGCGTGTCTCCAACAATGGCTAACTGCATCAGAAACGAATGCCTGTGAGTTATGCAAATTTCCATTCATAATGCATACAAAAATCAAACCATTCAATGAGGTAAGTAATTGAAGTTTAATACGGGTAAAAATGTAAAAAAATGTACATACTTAAATACTATCGAGAGATTTTCATTTATGAACTTGGAATATTTATAAGTATCTTTAACTTAAAAAACAACTCTTTACAGCTGCGCAATTAATTGATTAATCGAAGTTTCATACAAAATATGTGTGGAATAATGCAATTACACGAATATTTTAATTGAATTTACTTATAAACATCCACCGCTTACACCTTTTTGCTAATGTTCGGCTGATATTTTCTACCGATTCTTTAAACAAATTGGGAAGCCTGCTTTTCTGTGGCCTCTCGGAAGGGCAGACGTTTTCATAAGAAGCTATTTAATGTCAGAAATACATTCTGAAGTTATACATTACCTGTCGAGGGGCGTCCACTATTAAGAAAGCCTTTTCTATTATTTAAACATTTCACCGGCGAGTGAGATTTTCTAACGCCTCGGCGACGCACACTGATGCCTAACTAAAATCCACTTTATTTCTTTTTTAATTTTCACCGAAATTTTAAAGTTTTTATTCGGCAATTTTAGAAAAAAAAAATTAGGTAATTATGCAGTTTTTTAGTCCATTAAATAATAAAGCGTGCTGAAAATGTTTTTATATGAAAAAAAAATCATTGCGAATTCTTAGTCACTTGAAACTTGTACTTTATTACTTTTACTAAAATTTGATAGGTATACCTAAAATGTGTCTAAAAATTCTGAATAGAGATTTTGAAAGTTTGGGGAACATTCTCAATAACATTGTAACTTTTATTTGTCCAATTATCTTTCGCTTCGCGGGATCTCTATAATTAGTTTTAACTAGTTTTTATTATGTATGTAACATTTATTTATAGCAGCAGGATAATATATTTTCTTCAAAATTACTACTTTTTCTGCATTTTGCACTAAAAAATTTACTATAAACCAAATTCGAGGTCTACTAAATTTTATTACACCGTGCGACAAAAACCAAAAATTTTTAATACACACGCAAAATGTAGTATAACTGCGTTTTAAAATTTTCTCGCTGACGTCAGGACTTTTTTTAAAGGACTTTGAAATTTCTAGGATGTCTATGATTGAATAAAAAAATTATTTAAAGATTTGGTGCATTGTAGAGTATCTAACAATATGGGTATCAATTAAAAGGAAACATTTGTAGAATCCAAAAAAAAATTAATTTTTGGTGCACCAGAACAAATAAGTATTGAAAATGTCCTTTTATCCTTGAATATCCTTGGAAATTTCCAGTATTTATTTTTGAGCAAAATATATGTCAAGGACCAATATTTACTACCAAATCCTCGAATTTCGTCCTTCTAACTTTATTAGTTTTACATAAAAAAAAAGTTTTACACTTCTCTTTATAAGATATTGATAGTTACAATATATACATGAAGAGATTGAGTCATAGGTAAAAAAGTAATTTCTCCGTTTTTCGAAGTTAGCCTCCGAAATCGAAATATGCCTTCGAAGCTCGAAATAGGGCCTTTGGTAAAAAATTATTTTTTATTATTATATATACATAAATAACTAAAAAGCTAAAAATATAGAGGTAGTCCGCCTTTTGCTCTTATTTAAAGGGTATATAACTTTTTTTATGCATTTTATGCATTATATTAATTCTGATTGGTATCGCAGTAGACGCGATTAAACCCTCTTTCTTCTGATATGCATATTTGTATACTTCGTATGTAAAAATTTGAGAAAAAACATTTAAAAGGAAGAAATACATGTTTTTTATAAAAAAAAACATATTTTAAACAAAAAGATTACCAACCGATTTTTTTTAAGTTTATATCGTGTAAACGAAAACAAACTTTCTTCTTCTGGTATGCATGATAACATATACCATATAGAATTGGAATTGGAGCACGGCTACTGCTCTTGGTCATAGCTTGAAGATGGATAGGTCTCTGGTGAGAGCAACTGCAAGCATATTATACTGTAGTGTCTATCAGGTGGAGATCTTTGCCATATGTAAGTCTGTTTTAGGGAAAATAACTTATGAGAGGGGTTCCTGAGCATAAGAATATCGATAGGAACGAAAATTTACAAGTACACCACAGCCGTAGCAAATGTCCCATGGATCAACAGATGTGACTGTGAAGTAGATAATAATATCATAATAATATAATAGATTGGCGCTTACACATATGTTAGTGTTTGGCCGAGCTTCTCCTCCTTTTTGTGGCGTGCGTCTTGATGTTGTCACACAAAGAGGAGGGACCCACAGTTTTACGCCGACTCCGAACGGCGATTGTATATTTATGAGAAGCTGATTTTCATCACAGAAATACACTCGGTGGTTTGCCATGGCCTGCCGAGATGCGACCGCCGTTAAGAAAAAACCTTTTTTTCCGATGTTGCTTTTACCGGGGCTTGAACTCAGGCCCTGCGGAGTGGAAGCGCGCACTGCTTACCACTACACCACAGCGGCCGCGAAGTAGATATTTTGTTAAAAATGTACTATCAGGCTATTCGGTAAGTCGGATAGTCGATTAGCAACTTTCTTTTTTGTCGTTTGATAGTCGAATAGCAATTATTCATTTAAACGCTCGAATTAGACTAACCGTTCACCAATGACTACTCTGGAAATCGACTAACCGAAATTATTCGCATGGTGACAGTTGTTCATTATTAAACAAATATAAAAAGCCAGTGTTTATTGACAGAAAATAACAGGTCGAAAAATCGAAGACGAACGGTTAGTCGACTAGTTTGTAAGCGGTTAGTTGAAAAAGTCGAAAGGAAATGGGAAATCGATTAAGTGAAGTCCGCTATGTTTTGAAATAACTTTTGCTAATCGATTAACCGATTAGTCGACTAGGCATTAACCAGTGCTCCTCCTTTCAAATAACATATCGATGGCTGAGTGGAAGATCGACCTATCTCGGCAGCCAGTTCGAAAACGCCCTATCTCAGAAAATTTTTGAACAACGCTCCATCTCCGAAAACTTTTTAAGAATGCCCTACTTCAGAATTTGATTGAAAAACGCCCTATCCAGGAATTTAGTTGAAGAACGCCCTATCTCAGCTGCCGATTCAAAATCGCCCTATCTCAGCTTATTTTCAATATATTTTCGTTTGAGATAGGGCGTTTTTGAACCGAATTCTGAGATAGGGCGTTATTCAACCAAATTCTGAGATAGGGTGTTTTCAATAAAATTCAGAAATAGGGCGTTTTTCAATAAAATTCTTAAGTAGGGCGTTCTTGAAAAGTTTTTTGAGATAGGCCGTTTTTGAACTGGCTGCCGAGATAGGTCGATCTTCCACTCAGCCACCGATATGTATACATACTTACGTGCATATACAAATTCCAACATGAATTCAAAAGCAGCTGCAGCTAAACTTTGTTAATTTTTTGTTTTCTAATTATTTTCAATTTCTGTATAAAAAAGTTTAGATATAAATTTCAAATCTTTATTGTTTTTATATTGGCACAAGGTGCTGGCTCCTAACTTGGATTATATATGAATCCTAATAGATTCATATAAGAGTAAAAACTTTTTTGTTTTTGAAACACATATTTCTTACCTACCTAGGACTCCTTTCGGACTCATATATTCTAAGCGCTCAGAATATGTTTGCGGGGACAGTAGTACTTCTAAACATCTTTTTGGGTGCATTGAATGCTTTTGCCACTGTGGCTGGGTGGACTCGATCCCTTGTCCGGGAAACACCTAAATTAGAAAAAGTATATTCTAACAGCGTCGTCCCTCAGCAGGCATTGCCAAACCTCCGAGTGTATTTCTGCCATGAAAAAGCTTCTGATAAAATCCATTTTCCGTTCGGAGGCGGGGTGAAACGGTAGGTGCCTCCACGAATTGGATGGCAAGCTCAGCCAAACACTTGGAAAAAGTGTAAGCGTCAAAATATTATTATTATTTGCATGTTTTTTTTTCTTAGGTTTGGAGTTTCGTTTTATGCTTAAGTATGTATGTTTCAGCCATCTCGAAAACAATTCGCTTTGTATATATTCGTAAAAATAGCGTCTAAATATAATAAAATAAACATCATTTCATTACAGTGGCGTAGCCTTGATATTTCTGGAATTGAGCGCAGACGTCTCTGTTGTTCAGTATTGTTCCATTGTGCTGCGGCTTTATGCGTTATTTGGTCACTTTGCGTGTTAATCGAACGTGCCGCAGATGATGTGAAACGTGGACTGATTGGTAAGTAACTATGTACTTGGTTTAATCTTTAGAGTAAGTTATCGGCTCTTAAAAAATTATGATTTTAACTATTGGATATTTCTTAGATTGGCCCTTTTGGACAAAATTGGCCGTAGTAACGGTGGGTCTTACGGGTGGCGTTGTCTTCATGTATATTCAATGTAAAGCTTATCTACATTTATGTCATCGTTGGAAGGCCAGAAATAGGTTCATATCAAAATACCACTCTAAAAAAGTATTATTATTATTTTAAATTTTTTTCTGCTATAGGATTCTCCTCATTCAAAATGCACCAGAAAAAGTGCATCCCTTGTCGCCTCCATCACCCGCAATCACACATCGCGCTCGCCACGAAGGACCCAGCGAACCACACCCATGCAGCGCAAATGGGCCACCAGCTGGATGTGATGGCCCAAATGTCGAAGTAGTTGCCAATGGCGCTTCTGCCTCCAATGGCTACAACTATGCCTCTGCCGCTAGGACTGATAGTATTGCTGGCAGCATAGACATAGAAGGTGCGACGGCTCTTCATCAACATTCTCTTCACCACTACCATCTTCCGGCTGAGCAGCGTCGTCTACAACAAACTGACGATCTTGATTCAGGCGCATTACCTGCAGCACACCATCACCATTTGACGCCGCAACAACAAGTGGGACAAGTTGCTGTAGCGGCGAATATTGAGTGTGCTCAGCTGCAAAGTAATTATGAACGCGATTGGGCGTTGGATGATGTGGTTTCGCAGATCTCGTCCTTCCGCCCCTGCCCACAGGGATCCGGTAGCATGACACCTTTCCATGACTCAATACACAACGTACTCGAACATTCAGAGAATTCGAGTCGTGGCTCGGTAAATGACGTTTGCGGTGGTTCACGGCAAGATCTTAGCACTGGTGGTATTTCCACAGATACCGGACGGGAACATGCGCTTCAATTAAGCAGTTTTAGTGGTGAGTAAATTGTCGAATAATAAATACAGAAGATTGGTTATAGAATAGAAACAAATTATAAATACGTTCCTTATTTAGGGGCGAAGTTTTTATATCCTAATTTATTTGTCATAGTTAATTGTTTTTGCTTTTTTGTTAATTATTTACAAGAAGAACAATTATAAATAAGTGATACACTAACTCAACCGGTAACGGCGAACTATCTAAATGGTCGCTGCGTCAGGCTCAGAAAGACTGCTGCTCTTAAAGCTTAAACAGACGGCAGCGTTGATCCGGATCAACTCGTAAATTCGGAATTATCTCGGGAGTTAACTAGCGTTGATCCGGATTAAGTCCTAGAGTTAATTCCGAAACTTAACTCGGATCAAGGGAATATTCGATGATAACCGACCAGAGAGCGTAGAATACAGAGAAAGGGCAAAACTAGCATGGGCATATACCTTTTCATCGGTAATGCAGTCATCATACTAATTCAGATAGGAATCCAATTGAAATTGAATAAGAACTTATTTGAATTAATACGGTGACTGCATTACCGACGACAGGCTAGTTTTGAATTTTCTTCGTGTTCTACGCTCTCTGAGCAAATTTAGCAAATTTAAAATTTTTAGAGTTTAGTTTTATTAAAAAAGTCAAAGACAACTAACAAATACAACTTTAAAAAAATACCCCATATGTATTCACAACGGTGTCGTAAGTGTCGTATCGTTGTATGTCGTAAACTTTAAACGCCTAAGAAATATATTAAAGGAGTTCGCAAAGTACCAACAAAGTCATTTTATGATTTTTTGTAGTGCTAAAAAATAGTTGGTTGACGTTTAAAGTTCTCTAAACATTTATTTAAGCTTTTAAAGTTTACGACATACAGCAATACGACACTTACGACACCGTTGTGAATCGCTCAATAGAATTTATAATTGAATGAATAAAAAAATATTTAATGAATTCTGTACTAGCCATGGGATTCGAACCGACGACCACGCGGCACGTAAATCCGCATTACTGCCGTCTGTCAAGTCCCAATTTTGGTCAGGGCAATTGGCCCGTCAATCCGGATCAACATTGCCGTCTGTTTATGCTTTTACGGAGTTGGAGCAGAGGGAGAGGGGTGTAAATTTGTGTTGGGTTGTGTGGGCATGTTACGAGATGTATAATGTCATCAGGGGACCAGCCACATGCTGGACATACAGTAAGTACGTCGCGGTCTAGTCTGCTCAAGTAAGAGTTGAGTCTGCTGCAGCAGCCACATGGCCTGTCTATACAAAGTCAGGTCCAGTGGTGGTAACAGGTCTAAATAACACAAGATATTTCAACACATACCAACTCAACATATTAACTCAACATATGACTTTTCTACATAAATTATTTCAACACATGATTTTTCAACACGAACAATTTCGCTTCACTTTATTTTTATTATATTCAACACAAAATTTGTGTTGCACAGCCGTTTATTCTTACAATTTCAAGTAACAAGGCGTATTTAATAAGGTGGTGTTAGCCGTATATAAGTAAAAAATTAAACTAATAAATTATATGCACAATGACAGTATGAATTACAACAAACACATCATTTTGAAGTAATGTTCTCCACGGCGAAAAATTCAGATAAGACCGTAACACCACCTTCTTAAATTCGCCTTGTCAATTAATATTAACGACTGTCATCCACGCGATCAATTTAACTTCACACATTACACATTATACAATAAATAGCATAATTCGTGATATCAACTTTAACATAACCGGTGCTACAAAAAAAAAGGTATTGAAATACAAATGGTCGACCATAGCTACAACCTACACTAGGTTTTGTTTAAGGTGTATTTCATGAAATTTTTTTGTAGCACCGTGTAATCAATCCGCCGTCATTTTTGGCATCCTGTCCCAATTATGCGGGGAATTTCACATTGTGAGATTGTCCTCGAAGATACTCAAATACTATGTCGTTCTCTGCATTGAAATTCATTGCAGCTCTTTTGAGACACTCATCGTAATTAGCATATTTCTTACGTTTCGTTGGCGCAATAACCCTTCCAGACAGATGATTTTCCCATATCGCTTCACTGAGAGATTGTTCCAGTATTAGGGTGTTGATGAATTTCCCCATTGAGGCATGAGACTTACTGACACGTTGGTTGAAAGCTGTGTGCCAACCCTCAACGTTATTATTTGTCCTCGGCGCGTCATTCAGTATTGCCGAATAACAATTCCAAAAACTGATGTCGTAGAGCGGTTTTGTGCGTCTATTTCCTATTTTTCCCCCTACCCACGTGCGTTCAAGATACACAATCATCGGTTGCAAATGACCACTTTCATTGGCTTTATAATGTATGTTTTCTGTTTTTCATAAGCAGTTATGACACTGTCTTCGGGTACAAAAGCAAGAGCAGCAAATTCTGTTATGGCGTTTGCATAGTTTTCGTCTGTACCATAGAGAGTTTGGTGACCAATGGATTGAACGTGCCGATAAATACATTGCTTAAAGTGAAAAAAACAGCCATGAACATCTGCATCTGGGAATATTTTACCAGCTGCTGCGATAAATGCTGGTTCAAAATCACTTATTATTATATCAGGCTTCAAGTCTGGTCGTCCCATTGTGATTACTTGCAAGAGCTTTTTATACAGTTGTTCTCTGCAAAAGGTGTTCAGCCCCTTTTCCTCGCAAAACAGAAAGAGAATTCTACTTTGTGAGGGTTATAATACCTAAGCGCGGCCGAAGGCCGCCTACGCAGAAAGGTGTTCTCTGGAAAAGGTGTTCAGCCCCTTTTCTTCGCAAAACAGAAAGAGAAGTCTACTTTGTGAAGGTTATAATCCCTAAGCGCGGCCGAAGGCCGCCTACGCAGAAAGGTGTTCTCTGAAAAAAGTTTTCAGCCCCTTTTCGTCGCAAAACAGAAAGGAGAATTCTACTTTGTGAGGGTTATAATACCTAAGCGCGGCCGAAGGTCGCCTACGCAGAAAGATGTTCTCTGCAAAAGGTGTTCAGCCCCTTTTCGTTGCAAAACAGAAAGAGAATTCTACTTTATGAGGGTTATAATACCTAAGCGCGGCCGAAGGCCGCCTACGCAGAAAGGTGTTCTCTGCAAAAGGTGTTCAGCCCCTTTTGGTCGCAAAACAGAAAGAGAATTCTACTTTGTGAGGGTTATAATCCCTAAGCGCGGCCGAAGGCCGCCTACGCAGAAAGGTGTTCTCTGCAAAAGGTGTTCAGCCCCTTTTCCTTGCAAAACAGAAAGAGAATTCTACGTTGTGAGGGTTATAATCCCTAAGCGCGGCCGAAGGCCGCCTACGCAGAAAGGTGTTCTCTGGAAAAGGTGTTCAGCCGCTTTTCGTCGCGAAACAGAAAGGAGAATTCTACTTTGTGAGAGTTATAATGCCTAAGCGCGGCCGAAGGCCGCCTACGCAGAAAGGTGTTCTCTGGAAAAGGTGTTCAGCCGCTTTTCGTCGCGAAACAGAAAGGAGAATTCTACTTTGTGAGAGTTATAATTCCTAAGCGCGGCCGAAGGCCGCCTACGCAGAAATGTGTTCTCTGGATAAGGTGTTCAGCCCCTTTTCTTCGCAAAACAGAAAGAGAATTCTACTTTGTGAGGGTTATAATCCCGAAGGCCGCCTACACAGAAAGGTGTTCTCTGCAAAAGGTGTTAGCCCCTTTTCTTCGCAAAACAGAAGGAGAATTCTACTTTGTGAGGGTTATAATCCCCAAGTGCGGCCGGAGGCCGCCTACGCAGAAAGAAGGCCGTCAAATATCGATCATTACAATACCCAACACATGTGTTGAAGAAGTCTGTGTTGAGTTGGTGTGTGTTTAGTTTGTGTGTGTTGAATTCCTGTGTTGAGTTTGTGTGTGTTGAATTGACCTGTGTTATTTAGACATGTAACCCCAGTGGTTGCGTAAGGCATTGTCTTTTAAAGCGCAGTTACCCACGGACGTAAGAACGGAGAACGTGTCAGGTGCCACGACCTATCTTATGGGATCTGCATGTTAAGAAAAACTCTCCACCGCATGACCGTAACGTAGACGTTGCTTCTCTCCCTCTCCATCAACAGCAAACTTGATATGTTTCTACGTACATCTACGCTACGCTACGTACACGTTCGGGCGTAACCACGCTCTTATTCGTAGAGATGCTTTCTGACGAGCCCTGTTGGATGCGCCGCTTCAAGAACGTGTCTGTTCGGGTGGTCACGCCTGTAGCACCCTGCTAGGAGCTGTTTGCAAAGCATAATGTTGTGTTCCCTTACAGGGCTCATTTAGGTCCCGCTATGAAGGTGATGTTCGGGCGACATCAGAAGATCCCATGGCTGTCTGTAGTGCTCTGTTTGACCAGTCTGTAGTTTCATCCACTGCATCCTGCTAGTCCCCGGCGACCGCACTGGCGCTGGGTGGTGCCCACCCCTCCCCTTTGTTTAATATTTATATTTTGAAGCTCCCGCACCCACCAGAGGGCGGAGGTTGTTTCGCAGTAAACGGATATCTCTCTGAAACTCGCTTGCTACTTCACCGCACGGAGCTTAACTCTCTCCCCACGAAGTCAACGGAAACCATCTTCTCTACCTATCGCCCCATAAATGCCGTTTTAGGAGTTGAATCACTACCAATTGCCTCACGAGACCCGCGTTACTCTGGCATGACTCCAACCATCTCTTCACATGCCGCCCCCTCAAAAACACCCCTTACTTTTTGGTCCAACGCCGTCGAAACAGCTTAAGATGTTAACATACAAAATCCAAATATATAAAAAGAACATTTATTATGTATGTATTGTTGGTTACGAGGTATATAAATGATACTCATCCGCATTTGCATTCGCGGATGTCTAAAATTCCACATTCGCAACATCCCTAATACATATATAATTGGTTGAACTTATCATCCATATGATGGAGATAGAAAGTTCATCTCTTTTCTTTCCTTTCAAACATAGCTTTTGTAGTTTTAAAGTTAGTTTAAAGCTTTTCGAAATATTAAAGTTTTTCATTAAAGCTATTAAATAAGGTCATATGTATTGACAAGTCGGATAGTATGTATGTATATCTAATTTGAATATGTATGTTTATACATATCGAGCTCTAATGACGAAAATAACGTCAGCGGTTGGGGCTCGATATGTTTCACATTAAACAATTTTTATTGTTTAGCCAATAATTTTTCTTTTAATATAAAATATGCTCTTAAATATTTCTAATAAACTCTTTGTTTTTTATTTTTTATTTTATTCTGATCAACAGGTAGTGGAGATCAAAAAGCACCCTCTATCAGCTCCGGTGTTTCGAATGCAGTGGCCAATGGCTTGGGTGGTTTCACCTACAAGCCACACACCAAACGCTACTCTAATTCATCGATTTTCATAGAGAATCGTGACATCCTCAATGACTCAATGGGCTTAAGCATGGAATCGTCAGTGGATTATCCAGCCACTGAGTGCTATCGACACTCGAGCGCGGTAACGCCGCCTAGTGTAGCGGATGTCGAAGCCGTAAGTGAGCAGTTAGACCAATTTTTAGGAAAAGACCTGCGCCGCTACTCGGACACAAAACTCGTAATTGGTCCAGATAGTGAACCGATGCTGGGTGCACCAGTTAACGATGTCTTACTACCATCAGCTGTCCCTATAGAGCCGCTTTACCCAACAGCAACATCAACCGTACCGATAGGCGGCAGTAAACGTGTACGCCAACTATTGAAGCAGCACTCCGCTAGTGCGACGGATACTATTTTAGATATGGAATTGCCTACGTCTCCGCTGTCACCACCAGCAGCCTATGCGGCGCATATGACAATGCCAACAACGCGTCAGACACAAGCATCTCTGCGCCGATCGTTGCACACAGTGGACGAATTAGGAGCTTGTCGCCGCGCTGCGGAATCAATGAACAGTAGAGTTATGCCCAGCACTGCTGCAGCGGCTGGAATAGGAAGACCGCGGCAGCAGTATTCGTCGAAACCAATGTTTAAGTCGTTGCCAAATTTAAGTGGCAGTTGTGAAAATTTGCTCAGAAAATGAGCATTAATTTCTGTTCTGCCTAAATTTACAAAGTCCAATTCTTAAAAAAGAATACATTAAAATAGAAATAAATGTACTGAGTTGACGCTGCTCTCTAAGTTGTTGGGGTCGCACATATCCGTTTTTCTCTGTGCGGCGAACAACGGAAAAATACATAGTACATATATTTGCGTCCAATATTTATTCACGCTTAATGAGTTTTTAGATGATCCCATTGGGTCACACACGCGTACTATGTGAAACATTTCAATATTCGCTGGTGTCGGAGTGGAGCTTAGCCAAAAACACAGCGATTGCGATTAGCCTGTTGCGAGTAAACTGTAGCTAGTAAACTACGTAGATACCGATGTATCAAAAAAGCCATGAAAAAAATCAAATAGAAAAGTTTTATTGAATTTTTAATCTCACGCTCTAAACTGGACAAATCCAATATTTAGTATTGAAATAGAATTTAATAAACTTTGCAGTTTTTTTTTTGTTTTTTTTTTCAATATGTAATATGTTTTTACGCCACAATAATAATAACAAAATTTTTTTTTTCGTTTTGTAAAACCGGCAGTTTGCAAAATTTGCGTTTATAATGTTTTATACATGTATCGTATCTAATCATACTTAAGGTAAAAGAATTGTTACGTGAATAATCTATTAATTACTTTATGAAATACAGACATAATTCCTGTTTATTTGCGGATTAGCAATGAAAATGTACGAAAATTAAAATTGAATAATATGTACTATATTGTATTTTCAATCTCAAAACAATAACTATATCTACAGCTAAAAGAAAACATTATCTACACACAAAGCCTGAAAGCACAGCGAATTAGACAAGACATTTTTCAGCCATACGCTTCCGGTAAAAAAATGCCGACGTTTGTTTCACTTGTTGTAGTAATATTTTGGTTCTAATGGGTCGATTATGGATTGCAACGCAACCTCAATTGGATCGTCGATAAGCAACGCCGCTGAGGAGAAAATGTATATTATGAATAGCAACTATAGTTAAGTCATACAAAGTGGAAAATAATAGAATTTTGAATTAAGCTGAAGAAACGGTTGAAAAAATACATAATTTATCTCAATCAAAATTTCCGCAGCAACCACAAAAATGCAGTTGTCAATATAGCAACTCAACTCAGTTGCCAGTTTTAGTTTGCCAGTTGCCATCTGTAATACATACCATTTCAGCCACTGGCAATATGTACATATCGAGGGCTTATATTCAATACACTCTACCTGTAATTTTCACAAAAATTTGCTTCTCACATAAAAAACCATTTAAGACTTAACTGTCACCGCTAATGTTAATGCAAATTTTATTAATAGTTTGTGAGTAGAATTTACTAATGGATTTCAATGCTAGAATTAATATCAGTGATGACTGCTATGTCCTATAGGGATTCTAAGATCAGAAATTAGTATTTGTGAAAATTGCAGATAGAGGTTATTGAATATACATAAGCCTCGATATGCTCATCAAATTGTTATTAATTGGTTATACTGGTTCTCTTAAAGTAAACTAATGAATTTCAAGACTGCTAATGTTACAACAAAAAATTATATTGAGAAATTTGGGCTAAATTCGGAAAAGCGTTTAATATACCTAATTTACTTCCAGTTGTTTTTAAATGAGTAAACAACTTTAATTTAACTATGTGCATAGTATAAGACTTTTTAAAAATATTCTGGAAAAATTTATGCCTCCCATAACTTTGATGAGGCATTAAATACAAAAATGTCAGCTTTTATAATGCTGATAAGATACAACCATACATATTTTTGGCAAAGCAGTTTCTGTAACTTCCTTTAAGGTTTTAACAATGTTCAGTTTTGCTAGCTTCCCTATGTTTCTTTCTAAAGCTAAGATCCCATTAGCGGCGCAATGGGCCGATTTCCGACGCACTTCATGTACCGGTAGTGTGAACAAACATAATTTTTCGAAATGCGGCAATTTGAGCCGAAATTATGCTGACTATAAGCAACCAAAATTAATATTGCTGTACCGATAATGTGAACACTCTTTTGCTAATTGTAGAACAATCAAGTTGTAAAAAATACGCCGAATTTTATCGGGCGCTCATGCCGCGATCAACCTCGACAATTAGCTTATTGTTATTAATCAAGCGCGATAGTGATCACGTTGTACCGTGGCCNACGATGAAAATCGGTACATATTGTGCTATTTGCGCCGATAGTGGGATCCTAGCTTAAGACATAGATTATTGTTATGTTAATATAGACTTCAACAAGAAAGCCGAACGACGACAAAGCGAAAAATCATCCTAAAATATAATCTTTATCACGTTGTAGCTTATGTAATTATATCGGCTCCCTTTCCAGAGAAGCTCTAGGGCAGTGAAATTTATATCTTTTGACTGAATTGTCCGTTCCTTCCTCCTCGATTTTGCATCCCAAATCTGAGCTAGAGATTTAGATCGCACTCATCTTAAAAAATTTTAATTTTCGATTTTGTGTGAAAAGGCCCTTTTGGTTGGCCTGTTAGCTGTATTTTAATCGTTCACAGTTTTTTTTTTAACGATATGTCTATAGTTGTCTGCCAAAAATATTATGCTGAGCTTCTTCATGTTTTGAAGGCACGCTACATTTTCTGTAAATTAGTTAAAGCAAATAGTAGCATAACAAAAATACCATCAAAAATAATAACTGCCCTTACTGACAAGCAGATATCAGACAAGATTTATGGTAGTGAAACAGAATGAAAGCTTAGGTCTAATTCAAAGGGATGAATTAGTGGCTGGCATTAAATCTATCAATAGTATAGCAGTAAATCGGGAATTCACTTGGTTTTGTGATGAGCATCAGAAAAAATTTGGTTGTACGAAGTAACCTGTTTTAAGGCAGTTTTGTGTGAATTTAGCTTTAATTAAATATTCATCCAAGCTTGGATGACGATTTGCAATAAAACATAAAAGTTTAGGTACATTTTAGCTGGAAACTCAATTCAAATATTGGATTTGGCCTATGTGTGTTCAAAAAAGTCATATCTCATAACACACATACATAATATAAGTTCATCAGAACAACATTGTTTCGTTTATTTCAGCATTTGCTTTAACCATTTATTGAACCACAGACAAATGGTCGAGTTAAGTTGATGCTTAAAAAACTGTGATTTTTCTATTATGTAATTTTTAGACTTGATTTGCGATTCGAACAGACAAAATGGCAAGAATACACATTTTTTTTTATTTTTCTTTTGCGTGAATACATGATTTTGAATTGTGTAAATGAATAAATCAATGGATCGAAATAATAAAAAAAGCAAGTTTTAGAGAGTACCTACATATGTATTCCCTTTTTTTTGTTTGCTATTCAGTCATGCAGGCCAACGTTTGCTCTCATTTTGCCTGTCCATGGATGCAAAATAACTTTATAAACATATTACAACAAAATATGCATACATACATACATACATACATACAATTAAATGATAACAAACTAAAAGTAAATCGATGCAACTAGCAAAACATATTTTTCTATAATAAACGGTTGCTTAGCATTTCGGCTTAAAAAGTTTAATTTTGTAAAAAAGTAATTGTTGAAGTACTTTTTCAACGCCAATACCAATTAGCAAATAAATCTAAGAAGATACATCTCGTTTCACTTCTTTAGCAGATTTCGGCTAGCTTTTTAACCACACCAAACTAACGATTGGTTGCGTTCCCACGACAGTCGGGACTACGAAACAGGAACGACCCAGACTTATATCTGGCCAAGGACCCTCACTCCAGCATCCCTCTCTAAAACCTCTTTGGGGAGTTTGAATACTGTTACGACAACAACAACGATTGGTAGCATTTAAGTGCGAATCGTATAATTGTACGAAAATTGTCCGTGGTTTGCCAAGCTAGCCGGGTATAAATTGCGGAACGGAATGGAGAGAAAAACAGTTTCTGTGTTTATGTGTTTTTGGCCAATACCTTTTCTCCCCTTAATACTCCGGCCTCGACTAAAAATAAATTTGTAGTTGCTTACGTATTTACTTAATTATTATATACATTTTTCTTTCTTTCGATTTCTGTAAAGTATTTATAAATACATACATGCAAATTTGCGATTACAAAATCATAAAAAACAGAAATTTTACAATTAATTTAATTAATACAACATGCTATTATTAATATTAAGTATAAATCGCATACTAAAAAGAACCATGAATAATATTACCTATATTAATGTAATTTTAAAACAAAAAAATAAAAGTTTTTTTGTGAATAATAAAAATATATTAAATGGAAGTAAAATGTAGTTTTTATCCAAAAATTGCCAAACTACATATGTACGTACCAGGGTTGTTGCGAATATTCGCATTCGCAACCGCGGAGCTTCCGCATTAATTTTAACATTCGCATTCGCTTTCGCATTCGCAATAATCAATGCGGATCTTTTGCGAATGCGAATATTGAAGGGCCCGAAAATAACAGTTTTTTTACCAGTCAAACTTGAACAAATATTTTTTATTCCCAATTAAAGGTCTTTTCCGGATAATAAACAAACCGCTTATCCAAATTAAACAAGTTTGGTACCAAATGAAGGAAATGTCTAAACTAGCAAAGCCACCCATTGAAAAATATTTCAATAAACAATGTTAATTAATTACCATAGATCAAACCTTGGGTCTGGTATATGAATTTCTTTAGTATTAAATGATAAAAAAATACAAATAGAGGTGGTAACCTTCTTTCGTTATTTCTGCTTAAAAGCTATTTCAGTCACAGAAGAAAGGATTAAAAATGAATTACAAAAACAAAATCGAAAAATGCTGTTGACGTTACAGGTTCTTCAAATTCAGAAACAACCAAAAAAATGAGAATGAAGAATTCTTTGGAAATCAACGGTGTTTAAGCAACGATCTTGCCGTGATACGAGATTGTGAAGATGGAAGTCAGGAGGATACATCCGACATTTGCAGCCCGATGCAATCCTCAAAAAAGAATTATTGCACCGCAATAAAAAAAAATATAACTGAAAGACCTCTCAACTGGTGCAGCGTCAATCGAAAAGAATTTACAATTTTGTCAAGTTTCAAGTTTGTCGCCTCGAGCGAGTAGTTATTTAGTGGCGCAGGTTTGATTTACGACCCTTTAAAAACTTTTTATTGAATACTATGTTCCAATTTTTGAATTCAAATACTAAAAAAAAACATTATTAAAAATTACTAACCTTTCCATTTTTATTTAACTAAATCGCCTAATTTACTCACCTAAATTATTTCTTAACAAGTAAAAAAGTCTAAGTTCGGCGGAGCCGAACATTAAATACCCGGCGCAAGTATTTATTATAGTTTTTTCACCATTCCGAAGACTACCGCTACATGGTAAGCAGTGGTGGTTTTACGTCTATTTCAAACATCTTCGATAGAACGTTCAGTTAGATATCATGAGATAAACTTATATAGATATATGTGGGCGGCACCACGCCCTTTTTCCAAAATTCCATAATAATGGTACTTCTTTTCAAGGGATTGTTGTTGGTATGAATTTTGGGTAAAATTAGCTTCCTTAAATTTCGAAATATTAAAGTTTCAAACATTTCTCAAATTTACCGTTATAGAAAAGTGGGCGTATTTTTAGTCAGATTTCAAAACTTTCAACGTTTTGCCTTTATGTGGCAACCACAATAATCATACTTAGTTTGGTACACATTGATAGAGCGGTTACCGAGATACACATATGTGGTTATAAGTGGGCGGGGTCACGCCCATTTTCCAACTTTTTATTATAAGCCTATTTTTTCTAAAGAATTATTGCAAAAATAAATTTTGAATAAATTAGCTTCAGTATTCACTGATTTATAGAAGCTTTCGTATTTCTCTAAATTACCGTTAAATGGGATGTGGGCGTAGTTATTATCCGATTTTCTAAATTTTAAGCGGTTTGGTATGTTTTGTGAAGGCCAACAACTGTGCCAAGTTTGGGAGAAATTGGTGGAGCGGTTCCAAAGATATACACATGTAATCATAAGTGGGCGCGGCTACGCCCATTTTCCAGAAATTTATAATATTCGTATTTTTCGCCTAAAAATGATCGTAAATATTAATTTTGAGTGAATAAGCTTCAGTAGTTACTACAATATCGCAGTTTTCGTATTTCTGAAAATTACCGTTATATGGGAGGTAGGCGTGGTTATTGTCCGATTTTCCCCATTTTCAATACCATCCGTAATACATCAGAAAGAAGTGCACGTACCAAGTTTCGTTAAGATATCTTAATTTTTACTCGAGTTATCGTGTGCACAGACGGACGGACGGACAGACAGTCACCGCTTAATCGATTTCTCTTTTCATTCTGATCATTTATGTATACATTTGTCTATATCTATCTCGATACGTTTTGCCTGCTACAAACAACCGTTATGTGAACAAATTTATAATACCCTTGTGCACAAGTGCGTTTGGGTAAAAAAATACTTGACATCCGCATTCGCATCCGCATCCGTGGATGTTAGCGTTTAAACATCCGCATCCGCATTCGCATCCGCGGATGTCTAAAATTCCACATTCGCAACATCCCTGGTACGTACATACTTATGTAAACATAATATTATGCTCATTTACCAAAAACCTGGCATCTATATATAAATACGCCACAAGAAAATTTTTTCAAGGTACGGTTCGCCCGATTTCAATGAACCATACACCGATTTAAAGGGCATAACTTCCTCTAATCCAGAAATGTTACACCCGATATATAGGGGGCATGGCATCTGACATATAGACTAAAATGTGAAAACCTCTATATCTCTAAAATCAATTATCCTGGGGAACTGAAACTTAGTACAGATGCATAGATTGTAAATACCCTACTTACGGTGAAAAATGGTGGGTACTGGAAAAGTGGGCGTTGCACTTCCCATACAAACTGAAATTCTAATATCGTTTATCTCTGGAACCGCTTATGCTAACGTCCCGAAATTTTACACAGCAACATATGTTGTAAATACCGTACTTACGGCGAAGAGTGGTAAATTTTGGAAAAGGAGGCGTGGCACCGCCCATAGAAACTGAAATTCTCATATCGCTTATCGCTGGAACCACTTATTATAAGGTAATGCAATTTTATACACATATAGCATCGCAAGAATCATTCAATAGGGAACCATTTTCTCCCAGATTTTAAAATCGCATTGAATGATTGTTGCTTTGTGCAAAAGTTTTTAGAAGGATCAGTGTGTTTGTCTTCCGATAGTTGGCGGAGGGATTGAGATCTATCCTTATCATATTATGATCAGATTTGTTTCACTTTTAGAACTCATATCAGTAACATTAAATTTGGTGTAACTTGATAGCCCAGTCGTGTGATGAAAAAATATTGGGCTTTGGCCAAGTCTTGACAAAAATCCCGTGTGAAACCATCGTTAGAGAAGGAAATATTATCTTTTGTTGTAAACCTTCAAGATACTTTCTCAACCGTTAACGATTGAAAACTCCAAAGAATCTAAGTCCAACAATAGATTTACATACATACATATATACCAACGGTGGGCAAATGCGGCTCTTTACTTAGCAAAGTGTGGCTCTTTTTACTTTCTCTTTGCTTAGTACATTTTGGCTCTTTACTTATTAAAATACATATTTTTTGCTGGACATTCTTTTCCATTGTGTTGTTTTTTATTTTATTCTTTTTATATACACATACGCAAATTGAGATCGGAATATTACCCGCAATTGGAGAATGAAAACTAACAGAATCTGTGGGGTTTTTAAATAAAAGAAATTATCCCAAGGTGGTTATCAGGCGAAAGAAGGGGGGCTGAACACCTTTCGCAGAGAACACGGCTGACTTCCAAAACGTCAATTGCATTGCATACGTACCAAACGCAACTATTGTTTGACAATGTATACTTTTCCGAAACTCATCCGAAAAGTTATCGAAACGTATCGCTAGAGTAATCAGCGCATCAAAAACAAAGTTGTTGCTTCGTTTGGTATTAGTTACCATTTGGGTTTTAAAAATGGAAAATACCGAAATGGTGATCATTGTTTTACTAAATATTCAAAATATGCAATGTATATGTTGCAATGTTTTGCAACTCTGTAAACACAAACAGTTTAAATACCGCAGTAGAACAGTATCCAAACATTGTATTGGTACGTTTTGGAAGTCAGCCCACCTTTCTGCGTAGGCGGCCTTCGGCCGCGCTTTAGGATTATAGCCCTTACCAAATAGAATTCTCCTTTTGGTGTGCACCCAACTGAGGCTACTGCTCCAGTGATATAGCCTTGGGAAAGGATGAGGTAACTAGAATTCCCTTTCTGTGTGGTAAACCTGGGGCTGCCGGCTCAGCGAAGTCTATTATGGTTATGATCAGGACTAAGACCCCTATCGATCTCAATACAACCACAGGGACAGTAAATAAATATTTGCCATGGAAAGGTTTATATTTTTAATGCTTACTGGGTTATACCTTATCTTCTTTGGTCTCTCATTCTTTTGCATATTTTGGAGTTTGACAGCTGAACTCCGCCATTTAATTTGCATATGCAACCAAGGTCAGACGCGTGATTTTGAAGGTGTTTTTATTTAATGAATTGTGATTAATTGGTTAATATTAAAGTCATAAAGAAAGTTACAACTAGTCGACTAAAGTGTAAAGTGAAGGGGAATATAAAAATATATTGGTGAAGTGGCTGCTTTAAGGAGAATAGGAGTGATAAATGTACGCNTTGCTTCGTTTGGTATTAGTTACCATTTGGGTTTTAAAAATGGAAAATACCGAAATGGGGATCATTGTTTTACTAAATATTCAAAATATGCAATGTATATGTTGCAATGTTTTGCAACTCTGTAAACACAAACAGTTTAAATACCGCAGTAGAACAGTATCCAAACATTGTATTGGTACGTTTTGGAAGTCAGCCCACCTTTCTGCGTAGGCGGCCTTCGGCCGCGCTTTAGGATTATAGCCCTTACCAAATAGAATTCTCCTTTTGGTGTGCACCCAACTGAGGCTACTGCTCCAGTGATATAGCCTTGGGAAAGGATGAGGTAACTAGAATTCCCTTTCTGTGTGGTAAACCTGGGGCTGCCGGCTCAGCGAAGTCTATTATGGTTATGATCAGGACTAAGACCCCTATCGATCTCAATACAACCACAGGGACAGTAAATAAATATTTGCCATGGAAAGGTTTATATTTTTAATGCTTACTGGGTTATACCTTATCTTCTTTGGTCTCTCATTCTTTTGCATATTTTGGAGTTTGACAGCTGAACTCCGCCATTTAATTTGCATATGCAACCAAGGTCAGACGCGTGATTTTGAAGGTGTTTTTATTTAATGAATTGTGATTAATTGGTTAATATTAAAGTCATAAAGAAAGTTACAACTAGTCGACTAAAGTGTAAAGTGAAGGGGAATATAAAAATATATTGGTGAAGTGGCTGCTTTAAGGAGAATAGGAGTGATAAATGTACGCTAATTTCCGAATTTTGCAAACAAGGGTATATTTCAAACCCAATTTGTAAATAAATTAGGAACCAAAAATTACAAAAGTAGGTGTTAAAATAATGTGTAGACCCTTGACTAGAAGTGTGTGCAAATTTTTTTTGGATCGGGTCACCACTTTGGACGCAATACCTCGAAATAGTTAGGCCACGTACTAAACAGGGAAATGTTTAGTAGCGCTCACATCGTTTTTTGGGCGGGGGGTGGGCCCCCCAAACTCCCCCCACTAGAAAGGGGACGGTCCCCGATTTCTAAAAAGGCGTATCCCCCAATTGGGCTCCTCCCATAGGCCCCTAGGGAACCGTTTGAAAAAGGGGGAAAAACGGAATTTTCTTATGCAAACTGAANCCTTTCTGCGTAGGCGGCCTTCGGCCGCGCTTTAGGATTATAGCCCTTACCAAATAGAATTCTCCTTTTGGTGTGCACCCAACTGAGGCTACTGCTCCAGTGATATAGCCTTGGGAAAGGATGAGGTAACTAGAATTCCCTTTCTGTGTGGTAAACCTGGGGCTGCCGGCTCAGCGAAGTCTATTATGGTTATGATCAGGACTAAGACCCCTATCGATCTCAATACAACCACAGGGACAGTAAATAAATATTTGCCATGGAAAGGTTTATATTTTTAATGCTTACTGGGTTATACCTTATCTTCTTTGGTCTCTCATTCTTTTGCATATTTTGGAGTTTGACAGCTGAACTCCGCCATTTAATTTGCATATGCAACCAAGGTCAGACGCGTGATTTTGAAGGTGTTTTTATTTAATGAATTGTGATTAATTGGTTAATATTAAAGTCATAAAGAAAGTTACAACTAGTCGACTAAAGTGTAAAGTGAAGGGGAATATAAAAATATATTGGTGAAGTGGCTGCTTTAAGGAGAATAGGAGTGATAAATGTACGCTAATTTCCGAATTTTGCAAACAAGGGTATATTTCAAACCCAATTTGTAAATAAATTAGGAACCAAAAATTACAAAAGTAGGTGTTAAAATAATGTGTAGACCCTTGACTAGAAGTGTGTGCAAATTTTTTTTGGATCGGGTCACCACTTTGGACGCAATACCTCGAAATAGTTAGGCCACGTACTAAACAGGGAAATGTTTAGTAGCGCTCACATCGTTTTTTGGGCGGGGGGTGGGCCCCCCAAACTCCCCCCACTAGAAAGGGGACGGTCCCCGATTTCTAAAAAGGCGTATCCCCCAATTGGGCTCCTCCCATAGGCCCCTAGGGAACCGTTTGAAAAAGGGGGAAAAACGGAATTTTCTTATGCAAACTGAAGTGGAATATGACCCAACTAACAGAAACCGTGGGATTTTTTAATAAAAGAAATTATGGTAAATTATATATCGGATAGATAGTTAATTAAAAATAGAAAAAATAAGTTTTTATAAAAAAAAATGTTCTTTTTAACAAATGAATTTTGCGTAGAATTCCTTTCTGCGTAGGCGGCCTTGGGCCGCACTTAGGGATTATAACCCTCAGGCAGTAGAATTCTCCTTTCTGTGTTGCCAAAGTAGGGGAGCTGAACACCTTTTGCAGAAAACACCATTCTGCGTGGCTCCCCAAACCCCCCTAAACGAAGGAGGGTGAACGCCGGGTTATGAAAAGTCACCCCACACCCCCCTCCCCCCCTAAAGACCCCTTGGGAGCTGTTTGAAAATAGGGGAATTTTATATTTTTTGGAAGGAAAAAACAAAGATAAACTTGCGTCCGAAGAAGGGGGGCTGAACACCTTTTGCAGAGAACACCTTTCTGCGTAGGCGGCTTTCGGCCGCGCTTAGGGATTATAACCCGCCCCAGTGATGTAACCTTGGGAAAGGATGAGGTAACTAGAATTCCCTTTCTGTGTGGTAGACCTGGGGCTGCCGCCCCAGTGATGTCTATTTTGGTTACTGGGTGTTTTATAAAAATATCTTTTATATAAAAATGTATATACAAATTTATAACAAAAATTTGCAACAAATACCATATTTCCAACCGACATTATTGTTAAATTAGTGCACAGATTTAGTAAATTAAATTTTTCTTAATAAATCGTGAACTGTTGCCTACAAGTGTGTGTAAAAGTTTTTTGATTCGATTCACGCGTTTGGGCACAGCAACCCAAAATCGTTGTACAAATTCATAAAGAGTACCCCAAGTTATAACTAATCAAGTAAAGTGTAAGGTGAAGGGGAATACAAAAATGTATTGGTGAAATGGCTGCTTTAAGGAGAATAGGAGTGATAAATGTACGCTAATTTCCGAATTTTACAAAATAGGGCGCATTTCAAACCCAATTTGTAAATAAATTAGTGACAAAAATTTACAAAAGCGAGTGTTAAAATAATGCGTAGACCCTTGACTACAAGTGTGGAATTTTTTTTGGATCGGGCCACCCCTTTGGACGGAATAGCCCGAAATAGTTGAGAGCGCTACTAAACCCCACCCAAACGTTGACGCTTGCATTGAGCCGTGTAGGGCTTATCTTGCCAAATTTACCTTGATTATTTATAATTTCCCAAAGATAAAAACAATAAAATTACTAGAGTACAAAAAACTTAAGATTTATTTGTTGAACAAATTCAGTTTAGAGGCAGTTAGAAACACTCATGTACGCACTTTAATACTACATAGTAGTCAATTTCAAAATACAATTAAAACATAAAATAGTACAAGAATTCAGTTACTTGAAAAAAATACGTACTAAGATCTAGCTGATGCAAAATAATGTTTGTATTTCATTTGTATGTGTATGCTTCGTATTGTCTTCTCTACGAAGCTACCACCTACTTCGCAGATTTCTTATCTCCATTCTCCTTTAGTTTGCCTTCGTTGGCAGCTTCTTCAGGCGCCTTAACACTCAAATGAGCCGGCCCAGTTTGTTGTATTTGGACTATGCGTTCATTTGCTTTAATAGCCTTACTTGGTGGTGGTGGTGCCTTCACCGTCAAAACGCCATCCGATGAAATTGTAGACACAACGTCTTTGGGATCATAGTCTTTGGGCAGTGTGTACTTGCGGATGAAGTGGCGTTGAATCAATCCATGATCATCTTCTCGCTCTTCGTGTTTGCCCTCCACAATAACAGTTTTGTCTACAGTTTTAACGGTTAATTCCTTTGGTTTGAACTGCGACACATCCATGCACACCTGGAATCCATCTTTGCCAACTGTAGGTATCAATGGCGACCCATCGCCGATGTCCTTGCCCAAAAGGGAAGCACGTCGTGCTAGCATTTGCGAACGGTCGTATGGTGCAAGCCGGCGACGTGGATGCAATAACAACGAATGATTGTGTCTGGTCGGTCGGAAAATGTCCACTGGATGTAAGCCAAATCCGAAATCATCGTCCCAATAGTGGTCAAAGTCGTTGTCCAATTCACGAGCCAAGTTTGCCAATAGAGGTACAATTGCCATTTTAGTACTTGTTTATTGTAATGGAGTATTAAATAATTTATTGTAGTACAATTTAAGTACAGAAATATTTGTTTGAAACAAGACTTCCAACCTCGAATAACAAAGCTTTCCCTTTGATTTTTCGTTTTCAACTGAGGGGAACGAAGAACCGCACACACTTTTATATGTGCTGACAAGCACGAAGAGCGTTGCGCTCAAAAGTTTTTAAAGAGCTGAAAAATCTCCATATTTCTATAAATTTCTCCACTTTTCCATCGAATGTGTGAAGAAAAAACTTTGATGCTCTCTTATTACCCCTCAACATTCAACGATGACGACCAGTGTTGCCGTTGCGGACTAAAGGGGCAATTTGACCCTTCCTAAACACCAATACCGTTTGACCCGACTTTTTGAAAGTTTTGGTTTTTTGACCATTTTCCAAAATTATGTGCGACTTTTGCCCCTTCTCAAAGATTTTTTAAGGAAATGTTAAATATTTCCCACTCTAAGTACGAAAAAATGCATCACTTAAAACTTTTAAAGGAAATGCAAATCGATTTCTGTGTGTTTGCAAATCTGTTTTGTGCAAAGTTAGTCTCGCTATTTTGCTTTACAATACAATGTAAATTTGATTTTCATTTTAGTTCTCAGATGTATTCTTATACCAGTAAAGAAAAGTAAAATAAGTATGGTGACCCTTTTTTTCGACATTTGGGCCTTTTTTGCGACTTTCTGAAAATTGCGACGGGAACACTGATGACGACAATGCGGAGTGCTTACTAAAGAGTCTAAAGAGTGCTCCGCCTTGAATGACGACATTCGCACTGCTTACTAAAGAGTCGAAAGAGTACTGCGGTAAAAACTAGTAAATAACAGAAAAATCTTCATATTTCTATAACTTTCTCCACGTTTCCATCCCAAAGCATATTCGACAAGGTAGAAGTGATTTTAATAGTTATATCTTTTGGACTGCGACTAAAAGTGAAACATAGAATAAAATATTTCATATCGTATTGAACAAATTTCTGTATTTAAATTTTTTGCCACTATACTTAGCTACAAAGAGATCTAAATTATTTTGTCACTTCTTCTTGTTGAATATGTGTAGGTATGTACATATGTACGTAATTTTGCTTCCATCGAATGTGTGTGCCAGTGATGGAAAAGTAGGCACCATAGTCGATTTTTGGTACTTTCATTCTCAGAGGCACTTTTGGCAAATTCATCCTGTTGTGGCACAATCTTAAAATATAGAAATTTAGCATAAAATGCCAATGTATTACAAAAAATCACATTCCACATTATAGATTAAAAAAATACAAAAAGTGAAAATTAAAAGCACTAAAAAATTAAAATAAGAGCCGTGAGAAATGTTTACAAACCGCTGAATGCTATTATGAATACGCAGTACAAAAAGCAAGTTTTCGCAACAACAAGCTTTTAATTCACTTTACCCGTCATTGTGGACTTTAACCCGAACTTCCAAGTACCGAACCCCCCGGTACCACCGTCAAGTATTTCGGCGGGAGGTGGTTGAGCACTAGGCTCGCACGTTGTTGTTGTTGTTGTAGCGGCACTACTAAGGCCCGCCTATTTCAGGTCAACATTCAATCATTTTCGTCAAGCTCAACTAACGGGAGGCCCAGGAAACGAGCTGTTTCAATGGGGTCGGACCAGAGGGAGAGGGGTGTTAGTTGAGTCGGATTGAGCTGGCATGTGAAGAGGTGGTTGGTGTCGGGAGGGAATTCTCCACATGCCGGACACACATTGAGGATATTGGGATCGAGTCTGGTCAGGTAGCTGTTGAGGCGGCTACAGTATCCAGACTGTAATTGAGCCAGGGTAACGCGGGTCTCTCTTGGCAATTGAAGCTCCGTCTCTTCTACGGGTGCTGATTGGGCTCCAATTATGGCATTCATAGGTCGAGAGTCAAGTGGTGACTGACTCTCTATGGATGTCGTTAATGGCTCGTCTGTATGTCGTTGGGTCCAGTGGTTGGTCTACGTATTGCTGGACTGCGTCCTTATATACGAATAGGTGCCCCCTGACGTGCCTGGGCGGAGGCTTCTCCTGAAGCAGAGGTCTGGGTGTTCGCTTCTGTGACACTCCACCAGAAATTGCTTACAAAGCATTTTGTTGTGTTCCCTTACGGGAAGCACTTGGTGGTGCTCAGGCGTCATCACAAGGCACCCAGTCGCTGTCCGGAGTGCGGCGTTCTGACAAGTCTGTAGATTCGTCCACTGCGTTCAACTAGTCCCCGGCGTCCAAACTGGCGCAGCATAGTTTAGAACAGGCCGGCCAATTGCCGTTGCCAGCAACGTTTCTTTGTCTTTGCCCCAAGTGCTGCCGGCGAGCGACTTGAGGACCTTGTTGTGGCTCCGTACTTTACTGACTACTCCGGTTGTGTGCGTGGAGTAGGAGACCAGGCTATCGAAGGCGACCCCTAAAATTTTCGGGTTGTTTACAGTAGGTATTGGTGTGCCATCGACGTGTATACCGAATTCTAGCCTGACCTCCTTCGTCCAGGTGGTGAAGAGGGTCACCGTTGATTTCGTTGGGGAGAGTGTTAGGCTCCTTGCAGTGAAGAAGCGAGAAAGGCTGGAGAGATAGTCGTTTGCTTTTGAGCAGAGGTCATCAATTCCATTCCCGGACGCCGGCACGTTCGTTCCAGTCGGTTGTACTCAGTCCTGGGCTACACCTATTAGAGTTTGGCTCATCTTGTTTAAAGAGACATTTTTTTAACTGTTTTTTAACTGCATTCGCATATATGTATGTATGTACATTCATAAGTGTGTAAAAATGTCAGAGTAGCTATAATTCGTTGTATATGTCTAAGAAATCCTTCATAAAAGTGATAATTTGGTTAATTAATAATTATTATATTACTTTAGAGTATTTTAAAAATAATTTTTCTAAAAATGTATTGTCCTTAAAAGGTATTAATAGAAACTTAATTTTGTGGCACTTGCATCATCTTTGCGGCACTTTTTGAAGGCTATTAGGCGCATTTTGAAATTTTTGAAATTCCATCCCTGGTGTTAGCAGAAAAAACCTTCATATTCTCTTATCCACTCTCAACATTCAGCGATGTACACATTCGAGTGCTTCTTAAAGAGAATATATGCGTATATACATACATATACGGTTGCCACTTCCTCATTTTTTGTTTACCAAAACGTGTATTAATATGCGAAAAATGTACCAAAGTAGGTTTAAGCTATAGATTTCATTATAATGAAATATTTTAGAAAACACATTTCTCATATAGCTAATAAACGAATTTTCCGAATGTTCTGTGAATTTGTTTGTAATGCTGGAACATACAGGTGTGTTGAAAAAAATAATAGTGCCGCTGGATCATTCCAATCAAACAAGACTCTCAAGTGTTACACAAAAAAAAAGATGATATGAAAAGGCTAAAAAGGTATATTCTAGATATTTCCAGAATAAATAAAGTTGCATATACTAAAATATTGGTTTGTTTATACACTAGGGCTTAAACAAAACAATAGTACTAAATTGAGCTGTTCAAAATAATAGTAGTAGTTACCTTAACGAAGTTAAAACTAAAGATATGGCTAATGCTTTGTACTATTTTTTGTTTATTTGTGTCTGACATCTTGTATTAAATATTTCTAAGTTTAATTTGGATACATTTTTGATGTTTCAGAGGGCCGCTACACATACGGAATTCCTCTTCGCCTTATACCGATCACTCTTGGACGCAAATAACTTTTTGTGCAGCTTACTGATATTTTTTAAGTCGTTAATCCGGGTTTTGGGGTTCAAACCCAACCCAAAGCTGATAACCTCAAATACAAACCGCTTATTAAAGCTTAGAATCCAGCTCTCGAGAAAAATCACAAGAAATATTTTTTAATATCTTTGTTGCTTGAAAAAGCACCTTGCTTTTGCTGTAAATTTTCTTGAAGAAATAAATACACATACATACGAGCATTTTTTTTCTTAAGAGCTGCAAACTGATTTAAAAAATTTTGACACCAAGGAATTTATTTTCCATTTCTTGTGCGTAATTTTATATGAATTTGGAAAGGAAAATGAACATTAAAACTCTTTTTTGCAACTGTTTATTACTTTTGAAAGTTGAGCACATCTTGTGTTTATAGAACTTAAACAAGTAATTTTTAAACAAAAAACAAAACCACAACAGGTACCACCTTTCCGATAAAAAAAAAGAAGATATAGAAAATGTAACAAAAAAATGTAATGTAATGAAAATGCATACCTATTTACATATATACATAATTAGAACATCGAGCTGAACCGATTTAGCCTTATGGCAACCGAACTTCAGTTGGGTGGCCAGTGGCTGAAATGGTATTACAGATGGCAACTGAAAGCTGGCAACTGAGTTGCTATATTGGCAACTGCATTATTGTGGTTGCCGAGACAATTTTGATTGATATAATTTATTTCTTTTTACAGCTTTTTATTCAGCTTGTTTCCACTCAAGCTTTAGGGCCCGTTTGCATACAACTTTGGCGTTGCGTTGGCGTTAGCATCGCTTCGACAGCTGATTATGAGTACGTGCATTTATATGAAAGTCTCCACATAACCAACTCAACTCTCAACTTTTCGCGTGCCTCGGTCGTCAGCTGTTCCAAATAATGAAAATTATGTGAAATAATTTTTCTTTTTAACCAAATGCGAGCAAGAAATATAATTTTTAGTGCAATTATTGATATATCTGCCACTAGTATGTTAATTTAGTGACCAAAGTATTCGCTGCTAACACCTGATTTACATGATTCAAGTACTTGAAAGCAATTCTTGCTCATTCTCTTTTGTGTTTTCTATTTGCTTTTACACGTTTCAATTCCGTTGAATTCAAGGTTTTGGTTCTTTAAATGGGAAGCAACGAAAATGCCAAAAGCAAAGCAAGAAAGTTGAAACGACTTGACGGTACAGACGCATGTGTACTCGTCCCTTTTCTTCTCACCCCCGCTCTTCCACATGCGAGCAGAATTGAATTCAATACTTGAACTGTGTAAAAGCAGTCTAAGCGTTCATTTTAGCAAGCACGGACGTTGCTCGCGCTGCTGTCAAAACGAAGCCAGCGCCAACGCAACGCCAAGGTGTGTGTGAACGGGCCTTTAGTTGCTGGTTCTTCAAAATTTTATTACCTCCAACTTAGTAGAACTTAACTATAGTTGCTATTCATAATATACATTTTCATTTCAGTGCCGTGGCCCGTCGGCAACCCAACATCAATAATCGATACATAAATTTTATGTTTCTGCATGAAAACTCGAATTCGGACGACACAAAATAAATATTAAACTAGCTGATGGCCAACACGCAAAGCGAAGCAAGCGTTTTATCAGGCATCAGCTTGAAGATTTTTCGATCATGAATATAAAAACCGGGGCGATTTTTTTGAATTGACATGTAAATGTGTTTCGAGGTCATTGGGGATCCATCTGCGTCTGTATGTATGTCCGCCTGTCCGTCTGTTTGTATGCAATCTAGAACTCAGTTTTCGAGATATCCGACTGAAATTTGGTTAGTGAGTGTAGTTTTATCATTTGTCGGAACCGGAAGAATCAGACCACTATAAAATATAGCTCCTATACAACTGATTGTTCAGAAATGAGATTTTTTGTTATAACTTTTCCATCTGGCAGCTAGGAACACGTAATTTCGCACTAGTTTCATCCATTATCAACAGAATACTTACAGTAAAAATTGCAAAGATCGGATCATTATAAGCTATAGCCTCCATACAACTGATTGTTCAGATATGGGGCTTTAATGTAAAACTAATTTATTTGGACAGCTAAAACCGATAATTTCGTAAGCTATTGTATAAATAATAATACAAAGTCTACTGAGAAAATTGTCAAAATCTATGCTGTATAAGCTTTATCTCCTATACCACTGATTGTTCAGATACCAGTTTTTCATCTTTCGCTGTCCCGATATTAGCATCCGGTATGTTGTCGCTGTATGGTCTTTTACCTGCAGATAGGTAAAAGTCGGTGATTGTTGTCCATGCCACACTCGCCAACATTTTTTTCTACCAAAATCTCTTAAGAAAAGTTACCAAAATTTACCAAATCTTCACTACCAAAATCTTCCCTTCTTCACTTACAGCCCGATACTGTGCACTTAATAAATTCAATATTTTTATAATTTGTCAATTTTTGATTATTTATCAAGAGCTCCCAGTTCTAGCACAGAAGTTTAAATCTATTTTCTTGATAAATTATCAAGATTGAAAATGCTATTGACAATTATAATTTTTTTTTATTAGAAAATATTTTTCTATCAATTAATTACTGCATGTGCCGTCATTCTCATTTTCGTTCTTGGTGTTTCCGGCAGGGTAGGAGTATGATGTAATGTGGAATGATTTTCCATCATCCCTTGTCAAATTTGGTTTGGAGACAAACCGGTTTCGGCGTTGTGCCATTTTCAGTGTAATTTTTCGTTCGGAATGTGCCGATACTTGAACCCGCGACTCACGGAATAATAGCACCGGCACACAAAAAAAGTGGCGGATGCTTTTAACCGTCCATTTGGCTCGAACAAAATTTCGAGTAAATTGCGAAAATTGCAAATTTTTTTGCTCTTTTTTCGGTTTTTCATAATTTACTGTACGTCGAAATATATGACGGTACATGTCGGTAGGAGGGTCTGGTAAAAAGCACGCGACATTTTTTTTTGCCGGAGTATCAAAAAGATTTATGGACCTTACCAAAAATTGCCAGATGGCCAGCATTAAAATGTGAGAGGGTAGAATTCAAATTTATCGCAAAAATTCGAAAGTTCTTTTAGAAGTGCAGCCCTTGCGCTATGGGAAATTTTACCCTATTTTGTGGCCAAAATTCTAAAAGTTGAGATATCAATTTAAAACTTGGCCCAGTAGTAGGACTAGAAGTAGTGGCCTTGCCGCGCAAAAATTAACCCGTAATGGTCACACCTCCAAATAATAACGTAATGGTCACACGGGTTCCAGTGGACCCCAACCCAATAAACAGATGCGTCGTACGTTCTATTTTAAATATCGACTCGAATCCTCCACTGACCTTAAGTTTAAAACTTTCTACTTGTTATCTGATAGGTTTTTTCCCAATTTTGAAATTATAACACCGTGAGTTATTTCATAAAACTCATGATTTTCTACCAAGTAGTTACCTAAGAAAAATTATAATTTCTTTGATCTCGCACAAAATCGCAGAATAAGATTATGGGAAAATAAGAGATCGGGGATTATTCTACCGATTTGTGATGAGTTTTCTTAAACGTTTTTAAACACTTTTTTAAAACACTAAATACATTTTTTTTTAATTGTACAATTTCACTTTAAAGTCACTTAAATGCGGACGTCTCTTTGGCACAAGCTTTAAGCTATAATACAAGTTTTAATCGGTGAATATTCTACTAACCGTCACTCTTTCTTTCTAGTTTTCACTTTTGAAAAGCGGCAAATAGATGATGAGATACACGCATTTGAAAGTGGCACATAAATCAAGCTACACATTTTTCGTTTACAGAAAATTTCGAAACTATCTGTTTGAGGGTTACTAAATCAACGGTAAGTCGATTTATCGAAAAACAGAGTATACTAGTTTATACACTCCTTGTTTATCCAATGGGTCTTCTTGATTTGTCGTGTTCCGTAGTATCCGTCCTACATTGTTATTTGTTCTGAATGATGTGCGAAGGTTGTGTTTCTGGAACAGCTTTGTTAGCTTGTACGTTGACTTTCCAGTATAGGTTAATACCGCCCAATTTTTCTTATTGTTTTCTGCTTTGTTTGGCTTTTTGTTTTTGTGCTCCCTTCAGATTTCTTCTACCAGATCTCTCTTGTATCCGTTATTAGCCGGCATCCCTCTTTTGTTAGTGGTATTCGCCCAGTTCTATTGATCATCTGTCTAAGGGCGGCTTTTTTATGCTGATGAGGATGGTTCGAAGTATTGGGTCTAATCATTGAACTCGTGTCGATCGGAAATTATGAAATTTCCCTATCATTTTCTATCAGGGATGGAAAATAATCATTATTTTTTAAATTTAAATTAAATAAATCAACATGTTGTAAGTGTCGTACGGCAATTTTATGTATACTCACATATCTGTTTTTGTATTTCCTACCGTAATTTACAATGATTTTTATTTTCCAAGTTTTACTAGTAAAAATTACAAGTTATAATTAAAATATGATTTCTATTTTTTCGCTCAAGAATAATGATTACCCCTTGATTTTAAGTTTTTTAATCGAGAGTAATGATTATCCTTCAATTTTTATTTTTTCACTCAAGAATAATGATGATCTTGCGATTTTTATTTTTTTCACTCAAGAATAACGATTGACACCTGATTTATAAACGTTCTCTGGTTTTACTCCCTCCTATAAAATTTGGGCAACCTCACATACGAGGTTTTGCATTTTCTTGATACGCGGTTTAGATTAGTGTATGTTAAAATCAAATTTTGGGTAAATCGATTAAGAACGACAATGTATGTGTAACCCATAATTGTCAATTTATTTCCAATGCATCATAAACACACTCACTCCAGCTCAATAAAGAGAAACGACTACATACATATTTTGTTTTTAGTTAAAAATTTATTCTTTTTCTGCACACTTATATAAACTACAGACTTTTTCTCTTAAAAATCAAACAACTTCTACAGCTACATACATATTTAATAAAAATTGTATGAGTTGACGAATTAATTCGACGAGACGCTGCTATATGTAACTATTCTATACATTTGGTTTTTATTTTTTTGGGTTCTCCTTTGGATTCTCCTTCACGTTCAAGTGTGCTGGTCCAGTTTGTTGAATTTGGATGACTCGTTCGTTGGACTTTTCTATGGCAGGTTTTGGTACACTGACTGTTAACAAGCCATCCGATGACAGTGATGAAACTACTTGATCTGCATCAAAGCCTTTAGGCAGTGTATAGCGACGCATAAAATGACGAGATATATACCCATGGTCATCTGCTCGCTCCTCATGTTTACCCTCTACAACGATGTGGTTGTCAACCACTTTAACGCTCAGCTCATTTGGCTTAAATAGCTGCACACCCATACTGGCTTGAAATCCATCTTTTCCCACCGAGGCCATAGGCAGATCTCTTTCAAATATCCCAAATTGGCCACTGGGCAAAGTGTTGATCGCAGGCAAGCGGCTGTGGAATACCGGTGTCAGATGGTTAAAATTGTCAGCCACACTCAAGAGCAATGGTAGACTCGCCATTCTAAATTTGATGTGATGTTCCTTTGTTTTCACAAATGGTATCTAATATGCGATAACTTAACAACGTTAGCTTCTTTAGCTTTTGTATAATATACTACTGGGAGCGCTTATTCAACGCTTTGATTTGCTTGAACTTACTTTCAAAGTTAACTATGCCGGTGGTTGCAAGTGCCCGTCTTTATATACTCATGGCGCGCCATGGCAGGCGGAGAATATTTCGATGCGCTGTGCGATATTTGTGCATATGTACATACAATGGGCATACACAGTACATACGTACATATCGCACACCGTCTCCAAAAGAGGCACAACTCAAAATTTGGTTTGTTTGAAATTATGCTCTAAAAATTTACACTGTACTTTTATTTACCTTTCAGCAAAAGCTGGAGCAAATTTTTATTATAATTTGTTAAAAAAAAACCTAAGGTAAAGTCCCCCTTGCCGATATGATTATCATGCGTTAAGAAATAGTTTTTCGCATTTTCTGACAAACGTGTAATTTGGAGTTGTGTCCCTTTTGAAGAGGGTGTGCGACATGTGCATTGCATGCATTTTCTCTCACGCAACAATAACCGAAGTTTGTTCCTCTCTAGAAATTGTTCTGCGCATAGCTTGTTTATTGAAGACAAAGGATCCAGAAAATTCGAGCTCGAGCGAGTTCGCTGGTTGGCATTAAAAGCTCACAAAAAGGCAGCTGTTTGGTCAAAATGTTTGCGATTTAAACAATTTACAGGCTAACCTAATATTCGCGGCTTGCGTTTTGGTATGCATGCCGTCGAATTTGTTTTTTTGCGTCACCCGAAATTGTCTTGCATGCGTTTGCATTTGATTTCATTGAGCGAAACGTCAAATCAAAATGTCACGCAGAACAAAAATTGGAAATTGAGTTAGCTTCATACGCACGCCGTTCAATTTCGGTTGATCTCATACAAGTTGCATGTGCATGAGAAATTTTTGACAATAAATTGGCGGCGTGCGTGAATATTAGGTTAGCCTGTAAGGGTGCGAATTCAAGAACATTTGCATTTTTTATGTTCGCATGCCTGCAAGTAGGTACATACATAAGTAAAAAAAAATTTAAAGAAATATGTTTTTTTTTTTTGAAATATGTACCTGTGTATGTACTTATATCGCACATTTCTTTCTTTCTGGCATTTCCTGTATTAAGTTTCACTTCTTCCGTGCGTAGGGACTACACGTGTTAGGTTAAGGTATTTAATAAATAAATTAAATATGTTGAATCCCTAAATTAGTAGCACAAGCTGAGAAGAATTTGTTTTGTGTACTATGTACATATATGTATGCATACATATATACTACATACACCAACCATTTCCAGTGAACATTTTTCTTTAAAACATTCATCTTCATCTTCATCTTCATCTTCATCTTCATCTTCATCTTCATCTTCATCTTCATCTTCATCATATTCATCTTGATTTAAAACCATTTGTTTTGATAACCATATTGGGATACTTTATTTATTTATTTTAATAAATAATTTGAATTTTAATTCGCTGCCCTATGTCCATGTCGTTATAAAACTCTTACAGAAGCTTTTTCTCGAAAACTCGAAGAGCCGCCTGTTCAGATACTTTCATTGTCCATGGTTCCGTGGCATACACCAGCACGGGCATGATGATGATGAGTGATTTAATAGAATGCCATTTTCCTACGACGAGACAGGACTTTAATTCTCAATTGCCCACTCAGCCCAAAGTAGTCCTTGTTGGCAATAGTGATTCTACGTTAGATTTCAGGAGATACTTCGTTTCGATCTCGTTCACCACCAGACCAATAAGCTTCATTTCTCTGTCTAATTCCGAGAAGGCAGAACAGACGTGGCCCTTGATGTCGATGCCGATTGTACGCTCTTGTAAAGTATTGTCCCTGAGCGGTTCAGTTCGGCACATCTTATGATCTTCCGTAACACAATATCAAAGAAATCACCCGAAAGGGAAACCACGTTTGGTAGAAAACGGCTCGGAGAGATCCTTCCCAATTCTGACAGAGTTGGTGGTATTGTCTAACGTCGTTTTACACAGCCGTATTAGTTTCGCAGGAGAGCCAAATTCAGACATCGCGGCATGAAGCCAACTTCTTTTCGTGCTGTCGAAAGCGGCTTCAAAATCGAGAAATATATGGTGAGTCTCGATCATTTTCTTCCGGGTCTTTTCCTAGATTTGACGTATTCTAAATACCTGGTCTACGGTGAATTTGCCAGTTAGTTGACGACCTCGTAACCTATGCTTGGAAGGCTGAGCCCGCAGTAGTTGGTGCGTATTGCGGGATCGCCTTTCTTGTGGGTTGGGCATACTTAAATTCCAGTCGTCACCATATTCTGCATAAGAGTTGATGCATGCACCTTATCAACTCCTCGCTGCCGTACTTGAATAGCTCGGCTGGCAGGCCGTCAGCTCCAGCAGCTTTGTTGTTTTTCAGCCGTGTAATCGCTGTTCGTACCTCGCATAGTCAGGCGGTGGGACATAGACTCCATCGTCATCGATTGTGGTCTCGGGTTCGTCTTCTCCACTTTTTTCAGTGCCGCTGCCATTCATTAGGGTGGAAAAGTTTTCCTTCCATAATTTAAGCACGTTCTGGACATCGGTCACGCCAGGCTTGTTATTACAATAATTCGGCCTGGTCTTGAAACCTTCCGTAAGTTGCCTAAAGGCTCTGTTATGCATACTTGGCATTGCATGCACTGCTATACCATTTTTACGTAGAAATCAAAAACCAACAGACTTCTACGTATGTACTGCTGTGCGTTGGGTAACCGCTTACACGCGGAGCTCATTTAACAGATTTCTTATGTGATAACTCTCAAGCCATGCCAAGTATGCATAACAGAGCCTTAACTCTTTTACAAAGTTTTCGGGTGTTTTTCCTGTCGGCCAGTATATCCAACTCTTCGCTCTCACGTATTTCCGCTTCTCACTTCTTATTGCGGCAAATACGTCTCGCTTCACTCTTCAGTTCCCTACAGGTACCGAAAATAACAGTTATTGATGTAAACTGTCATGGAAAATTTCACTATGAATGAAATCTTCTACAACTAAGTGATACATACCAATCGATTTCTTTTTTCAGCGAGATTCAAATTTGAAAATAAATTTTTATTTAAAATTTTTATGCAAAATTAAAAATAAATAACAATTATTTTTGATTTTTATATTATATGTCTTAGACAACAGTTACTGAAGACGATTATTTATAAAAGTCATCAATAAAAATCAGTCAGTGACTTTTACTTTTAAAAGTCATTAATATAAATCAGTCACCGACTTTATAACTGTTATTATTTAGATAAAAATAAAAATTAATTGTTAATTGGATTAATAAAATAAAAGTCAGAAATAACGGTTATTTAAGGAGTAATTAAATAAAAGTCGAAAAATAATTGTTAAAGAGCCATTTTTTTAATAAAAGTAGTAATTGTTACGGTCCCTAGTTCCCTATAACGGTCTACTTAAAACATTGATAGAATTTACAGTTTAAATCGAAAAAAGTTTATTAATATATATATCTAATCTATATCTAATATATATATATCTAACATATAAATTTCGGTTACGTCAGTAGCAGAGTCTTAAGTCAAAAATATATCCATATTGCTTTACATATAAATTCCAAAGGGTAGACATATGGGCGCATCCACGGGAAGGTCATAGCACGACATAGATTCGCAAAAAATGAAACCACTAGGTTGCGATGAAGTCAAAATAAAAATTATATATATTCGACATAAAATTCATGTTTTATATGCGTTAGACAATATTAACAAAAAAAAAACTTTTAATAGAAATTTTAGTAACGTAACGTCATGTAACGTCTGATAGAAAAAAAGCAGGAAGGATTTTTACATTTTGGAACTTGGAAAATTAACTTCAAATATTACTACAAAAAATTTTCTGCAAATAGTCTTGCCCAATTTCCAAAGTTTTTAAACTCTGTCGTTTTCGATTTATTTTTTAACATTTCGTCACGCCACGCCCAGGGATGGCAGCGATCAATCATTTGATAAAATGAATTTATTATTTTTGTTCAATTTTCGATTTAATTGTATCGTAGTTTTGTGTCTTAGTAATCGATTATTAATCGATTAATTGAGAAACAATCGTAGAAATATTTTAAAGAAATATGAATTCTGTAGTTGTCTAAAATCCACCCATCGAACTTTTTTTTTCTAACTGCATTAACTTCACTCGACCCGAAGTTCAAAAAAATTCATTTGAAAGATCCGTCTGCATTGGCCTCAGTAATGAAGTTCTTGCGAACTTAAATAATGTGCCCACATCATCTTATGGAAACGGGAAGCGAGTCGTCACTAGAATCATTAGAAAATGAGTTCGATCTTGTACACAAACGAAAGCGAAAAGATGATGATTTGGGTCACCCACAAGATGAAATGAGTATTTATTTAAATAGTCAAGTCCTACAGCTATTGCGGAATATCACCGACGCTTGCGAGTAAATGAAAACTGTTTACCCAAAAACGGATTTTCGAAAAAATAGTGTCATTTACACTCCTATTGCCAGTGTCGACTAGTAGTAAATAAACGACTCTTATTCGATTATCGCTTTTCCATGGTATTGTGAATGTCGATTTCTCGTTCAATAAGCGACTGTGAATAGTTTTTTATCTCTCATCCTTCTACAACTGTTTGTTTGTTAAAGGATGAGCGACTATAAACTATTCTCACTCACTTATTGAACGAGAAAACGACTTTGAAAATACCACGGACAAACGGTAATCGACTAACAGTTGCTTATTTACTACTAGTCGACACTCGCAATAGGGTCTTAGTTGGTATATCGGTGCCTGCTGAGCGCCTATTTTCAAAAGCCACCGAGAAATGCAACCGCTTGACAACAAAGTCCTTATCAAAGCATTTTTTTGCAAACTTGGTTAAATAATAAATAATTATTGCCGCTTAAAATACTCGTTTCATTTTATTTAAGGCTAATTAACAAGATAATTAGACATTTTTTATGTAAAAGTGTTTTTGTGAATACCCGCTGTAAAAAAACGCCTTTAAAAATTCGGTTAGTCGATTATTTCTCAATAATTGCAATTACTTTTGCTTGTGATTAATCATATGATTAATTAATCGATTATTTTATTTTTTTGCCATCGTTAGCCAAACCAGATTGGCTATATGTAGT